GGCCCATTGGGCCATCCGTACGGCTAAACGTGGTTGTTGGGCGTCTTATGTCTCCACCATTACGTCCGAGACTCCTCTGCCACAGATCTGGAAGCGCATCCACAAGATAGCGGGTAAGTTCGTTCCCGATGTCTAACCAGTCCTTCACCTCCTTGGTACTCTTTTGGCGGACCCGTTGCAGGTCGCTACCGAACTGGGTTCCCACTTTTCTTCTCTTAGCTCAGGTTTTCATCTCCCCAATCTTTCCTTCTTCATAAACCTGTCCTTGAATCTCGTCCTTTGGATTTCTATACTCGTCTTCGCCTTCCCTATAATGATCCCTTCTCTCTCTCTGAACTTCGGTCTGCCCTTGCACTCTGCAGTTATACAGCGACGGGCTCCGATGGCATTCATTATGAGATGCTTCGCCATCTCCTTCCATGTACGTCTCAGTATTTACTGAGTCTGTATAATCGGATCTGGGAGTCGTCGTCAGTCCCTGAGGACTGGCTCGATGCCGTTGTCCTCCCTGTTCGCAAACCGGAGTCTCTGGGAACATCCCCTAAAGGCTTTCGCCCTATTGCCCTCACAAGTTGTGTATGCAAACTCTTTGAACGTATGGTTAACGTTCGTCTGATGTGGTTCTTAGAACGCCATCACCACCTCTCCCCTTCTCAATTTGGTTTCCGCAAGTGCCGCAGCACAACAGATGTCCTGGTGAACTTGCAGATCTATATTCGTACTGCTTTTGCAGCGAAGACGTCCGTTGTTACCGTCCTATTTGACCTGGAAATTGCTTACGACACCACTTGGTGATATCATATTCTATCCCAGCTTCATTCTTTTGGCCTTCGTGGTCATCTCCCTCTCTTTCTCTGCAGCTTCCTCTCTCGTCGTTCCTTTCGGGTGAGACTTTGTACCGCTCTCTCTGCTTCTTTTCAGCAATACGAAGGTGTGCTCCAGGGTAGTGTTCTGAGCACTACTCTTTTTCTGGTTGCCCTCAATGGTCTTCTTTCCTCTCTTCCTTCCGCCGTCTTCTCCGCTCTTTATGTCGACGAAATTACCCATTGCTGTCAGGGTGATGATTGGCCTCTCCTTCAACGCCGGCTTCAGCTTGCGATTGATGCCGTGTCGTCTTGGGCCACTGATCATGGCTTCAGGTTCTCTACATAAGACCTGTGCTATGACTTTTACTCGGAAGCGTGTCGTTTTTCGTCCTTCTTTGTCGCTTTATGGTCACCCCATTGTGTACAAGGATTCCGGTAAGCTTTTGGGGTTGATTTTTGACACTCGTTTGTCTTGGTCGCCCCATATCTCGCACCTCCGTGTTGAATGCTCTAAGGCTCTTACCCTCCTTCGGGTATTGTTCCATTCTCCTTGGGGAGCAGATAGGCGCGCACTTCTTGCTTTACATTCCTCTCTCGTCCTGTCTAAGCTCGATTATGGTTGCCCTGCTTACTCGTCCGCTTCTCCTTCTACTCTTCACCGTCTTGATGCTTTTCACCATACTGGGATGCGCCTCAGTTCTGGTGCCTTTCATTCGACTCCCGTCCTCAGCTTGTATGTTGACACTGGCTTCCTATCTCTCCAGGACCCCCGTGGTCGCTACTGACTTCGCTATCTTACAATATTCTTCCTTTCGCCTTTGTCGTGCTTTAACTTTTACCCCTCCTGCGGTTCCTGTTCCTCTTCACCACCTCCCTCTTTCTGTCCGGTTATCTCGCTTACAGGATTCTCTTTCGGTTCGTATTTCTCATATTTTTACTCGTGTTGTTCCTTCTTTGCCCCCGTGGAGAGTCCCCCTTCCACAGTTTTGTACATCTTTAATCTGCATCACTAAAGCTTTTACCCCTCCTTTGGTTCTAAAACGCCTTTTCCTTGAGCACTTTTCTGCTCACTCCCACTCCATTTCCGTCTTCATCGATGGGTCTAAGACTGTGGATGATGTTGGCTACTCTGTTGTTTTTCGTGATTGCACTTACATGTGTCGCTTACCTCCAGAGACTAGCATCTTCACAGCAGAACTTTATGCTATTCTCTAAGCTCTTCGTCTGCTGCTTTCTCATTGTCAATCTTCCTTTGTAGTTGTTGTTGACTCGTAGTGCCCTCATGGCTCTCAGGTCTCTTAATCCGTTTCATACATTGGTTGTCGAGATCCAGCATTGGCTGTTTCTTGTTCACAGTAAATTTAAGTCGGTTGAGTTTTGTTGGGTTCCCAGCCATATTGGTGTCTCTTTAAATGAGCGTGCAGATGCTGCCGCCAGGGAAGCTGTCCGCTCTTGTCCCATCTCTCATAAAGGTATTCCTTATTCGACTTTTACCCGGTTATCCATTCCTAAATCCTTACCCGTTGGCAGGCTTGTTGGTCGTCTGTTACTGGTAACAAACTACGTACTCTTCAGAGTTTTGTGTCCTCGTGGCCGTCCACCTACCACCGTAACCGGCGATGGGAAACGGCTCTGGCGAGGTTGCATATTGGCCATACTAGATTAACTCATGGTCACTTAATGGAGCGCCGCCCTGCTCCTTGTTGTCCTAATTGCATTGTCCCTCTTACGGTTGAGCATATCCTTGTTGAATATCCTGACTTCCGGGACGAGCGTGTATCTTGTTTTCCGATCGTCCCCCACGGTCGCTTGTCTCTCGATAGTATTCTTGGTGACTCGGATACTTTTGATATCGTTCGCCTTATGCGTTTTTGTTCCCGTATTGACATCCTTGGTGATATTTAGCGCCCTCTGATTATCCCGAGCATTTGATGGTGCTACATAGCCTTCCTGCTTTGGTGCCTTCTTTTGATAATTACTTGCTTACTAGAGCTGAGGAATGTGGACAGAAAACTCGTGCCCTCATTCCGTGTGGTATTCCACCCCCAATAATCATATAGATGGGCGAACACTTGAGAACTGCGAGACTTACAGATACCTTGGTGTCCCCATTAACAGCTCTGGGTACCTTTCTTCTCTCAAGAGGAGACTGTGGGAGAGATTAAAACCCATTGCGAGTCCTTGTTGGTTTCAATCATGGCATTGACGTGAGACTTGCTAGAATGTTCTTTGTATCATTTATGTAGTCTATCATCATTGATTGACTACAATGCTCTACATCTCACACTGTATGCAGACAAAGAGTTGAAATCCCTTTAAACCTTACAAAATGAAGCTATGCATCTCATCCTTGGGGCTCCAAAGTCTACGAGAATAGTTAATATGAGAGCAGAATTAAAATTACCTACCATAAATGAGAGAATTTTGTCTATTAGCACAGTTTTTGGCGTGAAGGCGTTGAGTAGATCTAGACAACACATGAAGTTTCAAGCTAAACTTTCTAATATTCCACCCTCGTCTAAGGTCTATAGAAGAAGAGGGAAATCTGATTATGTATTTTGGTTCTACAAGGTAGCAAACGCCATCAAAATATTAAATATGTACCCAACTCAATTTCATGATTAATCAACCAATTAATCCATGGGATAACTGGGATCTATCGGCTGATTTTGTAAACGCACCCAAGAGAGATCACGGAAAAGCACCACTGAGAGTACTCAGATTATGGGTAACGATGTGTATCAGTGCTATACCGACGGTTCTGTACAAGAACCGTCGGTATAGAACAGAACATCAGCAATGAAGCGTGTCAATGATTGGGTTAGTGCAACTCAAACCGAACTGGCAGGCATATACCTTGCCACTGAATTTTTAAAAGACAAAGGCAGTGGACTTGTATACTGTGACTTGCAGAGTGCACTCCTGACATTGAACGCACATAGTAGTGACACCCAGAAAATAGTCAGTGATATTCGAATAAATATTTTAGCTGCTATCGAAAACAGATTTCAAATTAAATTCCTATGGATACCATCTCATGTTGGCATCTCAAAGCATGACACTGTTGATATGCTTAGAAAGACAGCCTATAGAAAACCAGTGGTAGAAATTGATATGGGTGTTTCATTAGCAGTGACAAAGAGAATACGTAAACAAATATCTAATGAAAATTTTACTGACCTAACAAATTTACGAAGACCTGAAAGTTGTAACATTAAACAATATGATAAATATTGTGAGGAGACTTTTAATATGGAACTAATAGAGCAAGAACTCAGCATGTGATGGTATAGTGGCCAGAATACGCCTGTGATATAGACGTATCTGGCAGTTCTCTTAAAACCCAAATGTCGAGTACACAATGTGTCAACTTTGTGAAAGAGAAAACATGCACTCTCTTGAACATTATATTGTAGAATGTCCCATATTGACTGACTTTCGCCCTCCTGGGCTGAGATATGCTGAACTCTGTAAATACTATGTGAACACTGGATCACTTGATGATATATTGGACTTGTACCCAAGATTGACCATGTAATGCATCAGTTAAACAATGTATGTGATGTAACTATATCCTGAGCATGTAAAAGCATCTTAATCACCTTTACTGGTTAAGTGTTTAATAACATACTAGTTTCTATAGCAGCTATCTTACCCTGTCAGAAAAGGAGAGACATAAATGTATGTATGTGTGTGTGTGTGTGTATGTATATATATATATATATATATATATATATATATATATATATATATATATATATATATATATATATATATATATATGTATATCTATCTAATACACACACACACACATGTATGTATGTGTATACCGGATATGTGAAAGTTGGTCAGAATTGCATTTCACTTTTGTAAATGCACATTAATGACACTATGTAAAATGACACATCGAACACTGTTTATGTAGGGCAGACGTAAATCTGTATTTATGTATGTAGGTTAGATTAGCATTCTGAAAGCACTAAAATCACCTGTGGTTGATTGCTCAATAAATCCCTGGACTATATGTTTAACAGATCGCTCACCCTGTCCATGAAGGACAGAAGAAAATGTATATATGCTGTTTAGCATTGTAAATGTGTGGCCACGTCTGTGGTAGAAAATAATAATAATAAAAAAGAATAGTTGGAAACCTGGCCAGTAAAAGCTGCAGCTACAATGTCCTGTGTGTTTCAGAGAGGCGCTTGTGGAGCGAGTGAGCGGGGCAGCTCAGAGCAAGGTGGTGGTGACCCATGGCACTGACTCGCTCCTTCAGACCTCCACTTTCCTAGCCAACAGCCTCAGGCAGCTTGGACTTTCTACCAAGACGGTCGTGTTCACTGGAGCCCACACTCCTGAGAAGTTCAGGTGAGAACTGGTATGTTCCTGTGATGGTGGGGGCTGATGTAATGACCTCGGGTGAACCAGATGTTCCTGTGATGGCGGGGGCTGATGTAATGACCTCGGGTGAACCAGATGTTCCTGTGATGGTGGGGGCTGATGTAATGACCTCGGGTGAACCAGATGTTCCTGTGATGGTGGGGGCTGATGTAATGACCTCGGGTGAACCAGATGTTCCTGTGATGGTGGGGGCTGATGTAATGACCTCGGGTGAACCAGATGTTCCTGTGATGGTGGGGGCTGATGTAATGACCTCGGGTGAACCAGATGTTCCTGTGATGGCGAGGTTTACTTATCCGCAGTTTATCAGTAGGTTATGTGCAACAAGATTTAGGCTTAGAAAAGGGCGTCTTTTTATAAAGACGAGCTCTTTTATATTGGGTCTTCACTAACGTATGCCAACAACAGCGTGGATTCTTAATTTAGAGTACAAGTAAATTTATATAATACAAAAAACAGAGCCATGATAATACACAATTTGAATACAAAAATATACCTGCCGGGTGGTGAGTAAGCTGTGAGGTGGCCATAGTAACTATTAAGCTGTGAGGTGGCCATAGTAACTATTAAGCTGTGTGGTGGCCCTAGTAACTATTAAGCTGTGTGGTGGCCATAGTAACTATTAAGCTGTGTGGTGGCCATAGTAACTATTAAGCTGTGAGGTGGCCATAGTAACTATTAAGCTGTGTGGTGGCCATAGTAACTATTAAGCTGTGAGGTGGCCATAGTAACTATTAAGCTGTGTGGTGGCCATAGTAACTATTAAGCTGTGTGGTGGCCATAGTAACTATTAAGCTGTGAGGTGGCCATAGTAACTATTAAGCTGTGAGGTGGCCATAGTAACTATTAAGCTGTCTGGTGGCCATAGTAACTATTAAGCTGTGAGGTGGCCATAGTAACTATTAAGCTGTGAGGTGGCCATAGTAACTATTAAGCTGTCTGGTGGCCATAGTAACTATTAAGCTGTGAGGTGGCCATAGTAACTATTAAGCTGTCTGGTGGCCATAGTAACTATTAAGCTGTGAGGTGGCCATAGTAACTATTAAGCTGTCTGGTGGCCATAGTAACTATTAAGCTGTGAGGTGGCCATAGTAACGATTAAAATGCCGATGGGTCTTAGGATCAACATCAAACCAAATCTAGCTTTCTCTGCTTAAATACTTGGATATTGTTCCTGTCAATTCACAAGAAATGGTATTTCCCAGGTGAATGCAACGTTGTGGCTGGCACAGTAGCTAACGACGATGGAGACAGCGACCATCTCCCAAGATTGCGGTCGGTGATTTAAGGGAAAATTGACTAATTGAGGGGAACTTGAAGTGAGGTGATATGAAGTTAAACTCAGGTAAACTCTTCCCCAGCTGTGCACATATTGGTGATGGGGTTCATAATTAATAATCTAATTAAATTACATTTTCTATTTTCTGGAATATTGTGAATAACACGAGTCGTTCATCTGTATCTCGTTGTCAGGATGTTCAACATCACTCAAGATATTTGTAGCCCTAACTTCGTTCAGAATTATTACACCTGCATGTAATATTCAGAAATGTAATAATAGTAAAAATAATAATAATGTATTAATAAAATATCCATACATATTAATAATTTATTCACAAGAAGGTTCAATGGGTTGAGGAGATTACATAAGATTTGAATTTGTACATTCTTGCAAAGCCACAAAGAAGCTCAAGGTTTCGGGCAGATACATAATGTAATACAGAGATATCTTTGAAGATACGTGGGTTATGTATTAAATAAAGCTACTACTACGGAAGGCGTTTCGGGCAACACTTTGATTAAGTTAACCCCATAATACCAATAAAATGTTTTTAGTTACTGTTAAGTGGTTACAATCGATGGGCTAGTAAGGCCGACAGAAGGATGCAACAGTCTTTTCCTTTCAGAGGAGAACTTTAATAAGCCTACCAGACAGGCATAGTGTCCACGACCGCGAGGAACTCCCACCAATATATAACCAAACAAATCCATGCATCTGTGCTTAAATTATAATTGTTTATCATAAATAATTTTCCATTTTTTGTTTCTGGTTCAAAATAAAAAATGGTCTTATAACTATAACTAAGCTGTACATATTGTCACTGAATTTATTAATTTTCATTCCGTCATGCTCCTGATTCTGTCCTCTCCAGTTTTGCTGGTAGCTTTTTCCTCTTCCTCATGTTACGTTTTTCTTCCCCTACCTCTTCTCCTTTCCTGCCGCTATTTTGCCATTCTTGAGTGTTCTTCCTGATAACTACTATTGTTTTGACGTCTGGTGTTTGGGGAGGTACACACACACACTCACCCGTAGAACTGTGGTGCTTGACGTTGTCGAGCGAGGGGATGCTTTTATTGTCAAACTTTTCCATCCACCTCTCCTAGTGGAGGAAGCTGAGGTGTAGTCACTGAATATAACTAAGCGAATTGCGAATAGTCGACAGTACTCTTTTAATATAATGTACAGTAATACAGACAGTAACATAATGTAACGTACGATTATGTTACGTTGTTGGGTAGATTAGATACAGTGTTTAGTGAGTTTCATATTTATTTAGTAGTCCTGGATACAGCAGTGTCGTAGACGTTGAGACGGAGCTCTAATTGTGGCTCCATGGTGGGTATGGGAGCTTATTCGTGGATGATTGTTTTCCTGTTCATTTGTATGCTTTTTCCGGCCCTCCTCTAACTTCTCAGAAACGTGGTGTAGGCGACCAGGCCCATGAGCCAGACTGTGCTGGAAGGCTGGGCTCTGTAGCCCCCACTACATAGGTCCCAGACTATGCCACTTCTAAGACTCTCTGCTCCCTTCCCACCTCTGTGGCAGGGTTGAGCCTCAAGCTCCCAGTGGTGATCACCTAATCCCCTGGCATTGCTCCGTCTCTCATTGTAACAACTGCACCTTGTACCCACTCCCCCCCCCCCCCCCCCCCTCTTACCAGGGGTGCTCGGTGCCGCCACCTCCGCACGCATATGATTACTCCCCAATCTAATACTTTCCAGGCTTTGTTTAGTCCTGCTACGTGGGTTAAGTATTTTGATCATAGTCATGTTGATTCAACTCATCCTGACGATATATATCTCCATAAACGCCTAGTTGATTCGGTGGATACATTTGTCACCTTTAACCCCACCTGTACTTGTACGCATGTTGTTGCAGCCCCTTATCAGGAAGCAGCTTCCTGCTTGGCTTCGTTGTCCTGCATTGGGGAGACCCCTGTTCGGATCTTCAAAAATGCCCGGTTGAATGCCAGCATTGGCACAGTTCTTCTCCCTCACCATGTTGCGACTGGTGATAAGGAACTGAAAGACTGCCACGAGGATTTTATATTTTGGAATCCTGTGGCACTCACAGTCCCCGTTGTGAAGTGCTAACACACACGCCTGGCGTTTTGCGAGCACTCTGTTCGTATCATGACCGGGAAGGATTTACTTGGCGCCAATCCTTAACTGTAGTCTCTGTTCAGCCAGCAGGTACCTGGTTGTTAAACGATTTAGCAAATCGTATTCCGGGGAAAATTAGGATTCAGAACTTGCCCAGCACATAGGTTCAAACCCTCATCAAGGCCCTTGTGGATTTATTTGAAATATCACATTATTGAGATTTTTGTGTGTACGGAGTGCTCTTCTTCCCAAACTCACTGCATCAATTGCTGCTTTTTCTCCTGCACCTGTGTGCACTACAAATTTGAGGATGCAATCCTCAATCTGAAACATCGTGATATGTTTTTTCCTGATGTTCGCCGTCTTCCCTCTTTTTATGGCATGTCTTATGCTCGTGTGTTGCGTTCCCTTTTCTCTTCGCCCTCTCCCGCATTTTCAGTTTCGCAACCATTTCCAGGCCTTAGACCCCGACACTCCTACCGCCACCTCACCTGCTCCTTTGCGTTCTGGGCGTTCTTCCTCCTGGTTCTCTGTCTGGTGTATTCTTCCTTCTTTCCGGGTCTTCCTTGTCTCCTGTGCCCCTCTTTCCCTTCTCGCCCCACTCCTTCTCAGCCCTTCCCTCTATCTCTTGGCCCTCCTCAACGCCTATCTGTTCATGCTATTGTCCATCCTCTTCCTCCCAGCGTTCATGCTGACCGTTCCCGTTCTTCTTTCACTGTCGAGGCGGTCGCCCGGTACATTACTGATGGTACGCCTGTCTCTCTCCATCAGAAATGTAAGACTGGCTCCTTTCCTTCTTCCTCCCCGGCGGGTAAGAAGGCTTTAATATATTCCTCGCCTTCTGACTCGATACTATCCCTGCTTCCCCTCCCATTTCAGTGGCAGTCAAACCTGTCCCTGCTAAGGAGGTTCCCTTGGTCCTTGATCCTCTCTTGGATGCTGCCCTTGATCCGGTGCCCTCTCCTGTTTCTGTCCTTCCTTGCCCCCAATTTCCTTGACCACCCCTCTCCGATGCCTCCTCCCGCTCCGGACTCTGTTAGTCTGCCTCTGGTCCGTCCTCCCGCTCCCTTTGCCTTCATTATCTTTGCTACCTTTGCCAATGCCACGTCACCCCGATTTCACTGATCCTGGTCCTGGTCTTACTTAGTTTACTGTGTTCTTCTTTGCCTTTATTTCTCTCTTGTTATCTTTACTGTTCTCTTTTGTCTATGTCTGCTTTTCAATGGATTATTCGTCGTTTTTATGCCAAGTTCCATGTACTCCAACTTCTGATCGTGCAGTTTTCACTGCTTTGTGTTTGTCTCTCCAGGAGCTGATGGCTGGAGCTCGTCCTGGTCGCTTCCGTGGTTATTCCTTTCTCCCACTGATACTTACTGAAGTAAGTATCGTTAAGTATCTATCTTTCTGATACTTACTTAACGAATAAATACAACTATCTGAATATCACAGCATGTTTCAACCTTCGCCCTTTCCAACAGAGACACCGACGCAGACTTCAACGTTGGAGTGGCCCTGGGCGGAGTACAGGCCGCCGCCCCTGGCGTCTGGGTAGCCATGAACGGCATCCTACTCCCGTGGGACCGTGTAGAGAGGGACGACACCGGCCAGTTCGTTCCGCGCCGTAGACAGCTCCCAGTTACTGTCTAACTTTTCACTACTCCCATGACGAATTCTAGTCTCATACCATGTAGGGGTTATATATCTGGAGGGGTTCTGTCCACCAGGTTTTTGACAGGGCTGCTCTTGACAGCGTCCTCTCTTTTTATCTACTGTTAGTAGATTGAAATTTCCGAATTGTTATATAAAAGTCTCTCAATTGACTGTCAAATGCGCGCAACTGTCAAACATTCGACTGTAACTTTTAGACAAAATTCAGTTTCGTTACGTCTAATTTCTTGACAAAGGCTGCTCTAAGTGCACAACTATCCGTTATAAAACAGTCACTGACTGTGTGTAGGAACATGTAGTGCTCGAGTGGTTCTCCCAGTGACAGACAGCTAACCAATACTAAAATGTTCTGAAGTGCGAAGACCATCGCAGATTTTCCTTAGATGTACATAAATATTTTATTTAAACCACTCCAGTAATATTTTACTTTGTGTTCTAAATCAAAACACGATTTGGTTAGTATACACACACGTCAAGTCCAGTTTCAGGTGTTCGAATACACACACACACACGTCAAGTCCAGTTTCAGGTGTTGGTACACACACACACACACACACACACACACACATCAAGTCCAGTTTCTGGTGTTAGTACACACACACACGTCAAGTCCAGTTTCAGGTGTTAGTACACACACACACACGTCAAGTCCAGTTTCAGGTGTTAGTACACACACACTCATACGTCAAGTCCAGTTTCTGGTGTTCGAATACACACACGTCAAGTCCAGTTTCTGGTGTTGGTACACACACACACACACACACACACACACACACACACACACACACACACACACACACACACACACACACACACACACACACACACACACGTCAAGTCCAGTTTCAGGTGTTCGAATACACACACACACACGTCAAGTCCAGTTTCTGGTGTTGGCACACACACACACACACACACACACACACACACACACACACACACACACGTCAAGTCCAGTTTCTGGTGTTGGTACACACACACACACACACATGTCAAGTCCAGTTTCTGGTGTTGGTACACACACACAGACATGTCAAGTCCAGTTTCTGGTGTTGGTACACACACACACACACACGTCAAGTCCAGTTTCTGGTATTGGTACACACACACATGTCAAGTCCAGTTTCTGGTGTTGGTACACACACACACAAACACGTCAAGTCCAGTTTCTGGTATTGGTACACACACACACACATGTCAAGTCCAGTTTCTGGTGTTGGTACACACACACACACACACACACGTCAAGTTCAGTTTCTGGTGTTGGTACACACACACACACACACACACACACACACGTCAAGTCCAGTTTCTGGTATTGGTATACACACATTCTGAACGATTTTGTTTTCTTAAGTATGCTTTTCAGATATGTACTTCATTAAAGTATATAACTGATGCTGATATAACGAATTTGTAACTTGAAAAATAGACCATCTCGCTTTCGTTATCATTGTAAGAAATATTGTGGAGTAATAAACGTTGTCAGCATAGTTATGTTGCATTATTCCTTATCATCTGCTGCTTAAACTTTCCTGCCAATTACGACTAGTTATTGCTAATTATCAGGGAGGGGGGGGGCGGGGTTGGGGATTTTATAAACTTGATCCTGAACTTAACTGATACTTTACTTACTGGCGAACAGAGACCCCAACCACTCCCTGTTAAAATAAGATCGACCATGGCAACCACACTGCTGCTGCTGTAGTTAATCAATCAGCAATGGACCCTGGAGTGCACATATAATAAGTTGGGAGATCACCCTGTAATCGCTGTATACTCGGAGAGGGGTTCAACGTCACCTTTATCTGGGAAACGGGTCAAATTTGGCCTATTGGTCATGTATACACACCCTGTCGAGCCGCTGTGACTCTGCCCACACTCTACTTGTTCTGGGCTGATCTCCTAATTCCCCTTTTCTATACTATTTTCCACTGAGTGCCGATCTCGGTGGAAAAGTGTAGTTCGTGTGGTTCTTCTCCGGCCCCGACCACGGCGGTCTCCGGGGTTGGAGGTCCCTGTGCCCTTCTTCACCAATTTCGAGGTCATCATCGGAACTCACAGTTCATGCGACGGCACTGGAACCAGTCGTATTGGCGACTGCCTTTCCACTGGAGACTTTCAGCGCCGTGGAGAAGGGTGACCTGCTACCTGAGTAACAGCTTCTCCCCCGAATCAATCCACCCTGACTTTGCGCCCTGGTGTGGCCACTCCAGACCAGGCCGACACCAGAGCGCAACTCCATACTCTCCTGAGACTGATGGGTGCCTACTATATATTATATATAATATAATATATATATATACTCACACACACTAGCTGTACCTGCCACGCGTTGCTGTGGCTCAGTCTGGTTAAATGGAAAAGAAAGAAGAGAAAATACACGTTTCTAACATGTTTAATTTCACAATTCTGGTGGGTATACAATATTTTTTCTTGTTCCACTGTCTGTGAAGATATAGAGATTGTCTGATTGCCGACTCTAGAACACGCAACATATAATTGTCCACGTGAGAAGCAATCCGTGTCTAGATCTAAACCACACAATTCTAAAGATTGGGCCTGTGCTTTGTTGATGGTGATTGTAAACGCCAATCAAATTGGGAATTACAATCTCTTAAATTGAAATAGCAAATCCGTTGGAATCATAGGAATGTGAAGAATGAGAACATCTTCACATTTGAAAGGTCCTGTCAAGGTTGTTGCTGCTACGACATTGCTGAATAATTTTTTACTGCAAGCCGCGTGCCGTTGCTAAGCTTTCGCTGGTTGATATTTCGTAACATGATAATTGGCACGCAGATTATTAATGGCAGTTCGTGCGGTGGTGGTGTCCCTGGCAGATCAAGTGAATTAAAATTTCTGTTGGATAATTAACTGCTTCATCTGCTTCCACAACAGTGTCGACGGACTTGTATGTGGCTGCCTTGCTTTGTATGTTAGACTGAATAATATTGTGAAGTTCTTAGACGTCTTTGTTCTTGGCAGCAAGAACAGCTCGTTCACTCAGCCAATCGTGAGTCTTATAATTGGTTTGAATATTGGGAAATACTTTTTCAACCAATTCTTCTTTTGACGTCACTAAATTGTAGAAGTTATGAGGCAATGAAATTCGTCTTGAGGTCAGATCAACCGGCACGTTTCCGTTCCCAATTTCCAGAAATTGATGTGAGAATATCTCAGCTGATGAGTTCTTTTGTAGTTGGATACGCATATTTTTTTTTTTAAGAAATATACAAAGTATAGCACAAGACACAAGACAAGAACATAATAACAAGAACATAACAATAAGAACATAGTAATAAACAGAGGTACAGAAGAAAAAATACAACACAAGAACCAAGAAACTCCAGGTAAATGATGCTGAATACAAAGTTAAACATAAAAATGGTCACACACCAAACACATGTACATAGAAAGACATAAAAAAAACGTACACAGAATAAACCAATACACACACACACACAAGAGGCACACAATCACATAAATAACACAAAGCAGAATCACACTGCACACAAAATATATAAGTAACATAAAACAAAGTACGGCCAAGGCCCAGGTACAACTACATGACAACCCCAAGAACGAACCAGGAGCGAACAGCAAAACACTGAGACACACGCACCACAAAAACACTCACACCAGGAAGAACATTAATGTAGCAACAAAACAGCTGCACCAACCCACACAGGGCACAAACAACGGCCCACGCAGGAACCAGCAAAGAGACATAGACACCCCCACACCCCCACACAACAAACTGAACACACAACCACAGGAGCAAACACTCACCCCCCCCCCCCCACGAGGAAGGGGCCACAGAACTCTCAGAGCGAGCATTCTTTCGCAACACCATCACCATGCCACCCCGCTCACCACCAACCACAGCAGGGGGAACCACTCCCCACGAAGAACCGGAGCCACCCCACACAGGCGACGCACCTGAAGCAGGACCCTCGGACACCAGACCAGGAGGGGAGGCCCAAACGCCGGCACCGGCATCCTCAGGCAAGTGTACCTCCGCCACCATCGTAGTGTGCACCACATCCGGAGCCACCCCACCGTCAACGGAAGGACCACACTCTTTGAAGTCGCCAACTTCAGCCCACGCAGAAGAACGCTGGGAACGCTTAGGCTCGGGCCGCACATCATCAGACCCGGAGGCAGACTCAGCAACCCACGCAGCACCAGCCGAGCGAACCGACGCACGCCGCAGTACGGCAGCCTCCTCAACCACACGGGGCACCAGGCCAGGCACAGGAGGGAATGCCGGATCCACCCCAGCTCCCAGCACAGCCGGAACAGACGGCGAGGGTGCAGGGACCGGGACAGACACAGCAGAGGAAGAACTGGAAGACGAGGGATCCGAGCAAACGGCAGTTGGAAGAGGCTCAGGGACACCAGCCGGAGCACTAGGCGAGGACACAACCTCCGGAGAAGATGCGGCACCAACAGGGGGCGCAACAGGCGGAGCAACAGCTGAGACAGAGGGCACCTCCTCAGCCGAAGAGACGTCCACACCCACGGAATCATCCCCCACAGGAAGGGGCGGAAAATCCTCCTCACTGAAGAGATTCACTGGTGCAACAGCAGGCGCAGAACAGTCAGCAGCCTGATGGCCCAAAGGACCACAACGATAACACATCCGCGGCTGGCGGGCGTAAAACACCCGAACGTTGTACCCCATAAGGCGCACAGAGGACGGAATATCCACCCGGAGTCTCATGCCCAGGGTGCGAATGTTAGACCTCACACCCTTAAGAGGACTAGAAGACACCACGTTCACCCTCACACTAACAACTGCGCCAAACCGGCCGAAATACCGCCGTAGCAGAGCCTCTGGAAACTCCAAGGGAGCCCATGCACACTGATGTAAGTAAGTGCACCACTTCTATCCGAGAGGGTGACAGTGCCCGCACCATCCGGCAGGGGCAGTGTCCGCCCCTCGTATCGCCGGAGAAAATCGCGATATGCCACCTCCTCTGCGAACTTCGCAATTGCCCTACGGGCCGTTACCAACTCGACCCCATAAATCGCAAACACAGGGACAGAGAGCATTTCACAAGCCAGGGCAATCTCCGGGTAACCAGCCCGCACAGAGAACTCTAGTCCCACAGACTGAGCCCGGACGACAGGGATACATCTACAGGGAGGGCAGGAAGTGCTGTTATTGCTCATCAGCCCGATGACAGCACAATTCAAAGAAATATCTGAATTAGTAACTGGGCGTCCACAATGCAAGCCGAGTTGGTAGCGATACTGGTAGCACTCGAAATTATTGACAACACTGAAGTAGACAGCTTAATTATTTCTGACTCCCTATCCTCACTACGAGCAATAAACAGTTTGCAATCAAGTAATAACGTGATTGTCTTGGAAGCTAGACGTAGATATGTAAGAATACTTAGCAAGAGGGTAAATATAAAAATGTTGTGGATTCCTTCTCACATTGGCATGCAGGAACATGACAAAGTTGACGCCCTTGCTAAGGCTGCAGTAAATAAAGACAGTATTGAATGGAATCTTGAGTTATCAAATAGGTCCCTTAAAAGTGTCATTAGACGAGAACTCCTAGATGGATTTGAAGAAAGTAGAACAGTGCAAACTGGAACTAGTAGGTCCATTGTTCATCACAATGAAATGTGTGAAGTAAAACATGTGTATGGGGCAAGTAACAAAGTCAGTAGACTAACAGATGTTGTCACAGCTCGTATAAGACTTGGCGACAAGTATCTCTGGCAGTTCGGCTTGTATAGGGATCTAGATGAAGTAAAGTGTAAAGTGTGTGGACATAGGCAGGGACACACACTCGAACACTATATCTTGGATTGT